CATTTCTGAAGTTAGAAGGTATTGCTGTCATGGAGTTCAGATGGCATCCAGGAACTATTTGGACAAGACCACACTGACTTAGGTTTGCATGCTTTGAGCAAGAGAAGCAGAAGAAAATCTATTTGAAAGTTGTCTGCTTGTTACTGACGGTTTTCAGCAAACCAGCTCATCCTCCAGATAGGTAAACCCTTTGAAACCTGTCCCCTGAGGTAGGCTGTCATTACAGCAGAGCTCAAAGCATTCTGGGGGCAGCTGCCAGGCCAGGAGGCATTACATTACATGACCTTTAGCGATGTCCTGTAAGATCTCAAACTACTTTGTGGGCTGGCTGCCTCATAGCCTGAAAATGCACATTCTGAAGGTCAAGAGCAACACACAGAATGCTTTAACCCGGGCAGGGGAAGAGAATGTTGAGGGCTACTGCTCTCAGCTGATTCTGTGAGACAGATAATGAACTGTCTCAAGAGTTAGAGAAGGCCAAAGCCCTTCTGGACTTTTGTAGACACTATGCAGTCCCTCTTCCTTGAGCTTTGTCAAGTATTCCTCTGTTGTCCAGCCTTCTTCCTTTGCAGGATGCTGTTACAAGGGAGGGAGGTCTTGGAAGGGGACAGGGAACAGATTGGGACAGGCTAGAAGGAATGTCATACTCTACTTCCTCCTTCTCTAAAATCACCTGATTAGGGCCAAGTTAGTTCCCAAGTTAGCAGTGAGGCAACAAGTAGTTTTCCAAATGACAGGGCTGGGAGATCTGTGAGGTTAGCAACTCTGAGTGGCTGGATCGTCTGCAGTGTGTGAGTGTTCAGAGACCTCCTCTTATTTCTCCACCTACACTTCAGCTCGGCCAGATTTACAGGGACCATGGTTCTTGGAGAATAGAAGTACCGGAAAAAAGCTATTTTTCAACTCTTTGTAAGCTTTATACTCTTCTTTCCTTTATTCCTCTAGGATTTCCCAAACAGGACGATGTCTCTGCAGCTGCAATCTATGAACAAATAACAGCAAAAATTCTTCTGAAGAGCACAGTCTGATGTTCTCACCCGGGACAAGCCATGCTCAGAAAAAAGGCACAAGAATCTCTCCAATAGCAAAACCTTTCACACTAGATTTTCTCATATTGCAGTCCTTTACAAGATGATGTTTTTGCTAGTGATGTGTCTGGAAAACCCATCCTTCAAAGGCATTACTTCCCCACAGAAAAGACAATTTTTAAATTATAGATTTATTCCTAGCCACAGTTAACGACAGAAATACCAAGCAGCCAAATAAAACCTGCTTCCTAACAAAGGCACAAAAAGTTAAATATACCAGTACTAATCTAAGCCGGCTGACTGTGTACTTTGCCATCTAATTATACACCATTTGTTTAAGAGGGAAGACACCACATCATATAGAGAGATGGTGCTTATAAACTGAAGGTTATAGCTAGGACAGTTTAAAATAGCCCTACTGAACATGTGCTTGGCTAAAGGCATCAGGGCGGTTGGGGCACAGGTGCCACGTAGACAAAAAATATGAAATGCATCAGTCACATGTATATAAGCTCCGTGTAGGCGTGCCTGCACACGCACAGCTTAAAAAAAAACAATCTCACCTCTGCCTCTAGAAAGTGATCATTAAAATATGAAAATAGAAAAGCAAAACTGTGATCGGAGAAGACTGGATCAACATCAGTTCTATGAGTTCTAATAATAGCTATGTGTCACTAGATTCAGAATTTTTGATACGTCAGTAAATTATAATTAATTTAGACTACAAATGGCTCTGCCTGATCAGAGCTGATATAGAACCTAAGGTAGTTCAGAGCAGAAGAGCGCTGTCATAGGCAGGAGTTGAGAGAGGGGTGAGTAGTCCATATTTCCCTACTGTGGAAGGCAATTTCACGGTGTGGAATGGGGGCAGACAAGGTACAAAATGACCAAGCAACATCAGCAGGCAGACAGAGATCAGATGGGTTAGGCAGGACCCCAGGCAATGTGGAGACATGTCACAGAGACCCGGCCAAGCCACAAGGATGGGCAGCATGAGGGCAAACAGCAACTCAGTGTGAAAACAGGCAAAGAGCTGCCCTTTGAAGGGAAGCTCTTCCCTATGAAGGGAACATATTCAACTCCCCCTCAGCAAGGGACAGGGACAGGACAGCCATCCCTGTGGGCAGTGCACTGGAGAGCTCTGCTCACGGTGGGTGCAGAGGCCACAGTCTTCGGGGCCTCAGGAAGGGGTCACCCTGTGCCAACCTGCTGCTCGGCGGTGCAGCCCCGCAGCGACTGTACAGCACTGGCCGCCACCGCAGCTCACCCAAGGTGCTGCAGAGTCAGGGACTCGGAAAACGGCCTGGGAACTCCAGGGGCCTAGGGAAAAACCTCTGGACTTGGAAAGCAGCAATACGGAGACTGTTAGGCTGAGAGGCTGCAAGTCAGAATGGGAGGCTGGAGCTCTGCAGGGACCTTGGTGGGGGAGGACAGAACTAACTCTCAACTACTAGAATATTTTGGGGCCACATGCAAAGAGTCCAAACTAGGCCAGCTGACAGCTGGACGCTCTCCCCTCTCCTCACAGCACGGCCTGACAAGACCCTCACCACGCTCTCCAGGTTTTCCTCCTCTGGGCTGAGCTGACGGAAGCACTGCCTGATGGCCTCGTTCAGCATCCGCACATACTCCACTTTCTTCCGCAGCTCTGCCATCTGGTCCTGATACTGCTCCAGCTTCATGGAGCGAAAGCAACATCCTGCAGTCTGAGCAGCATTGTCTCAACCTGCTGCCAAACTGCACCTCACATCAATCTGCACAACTCCACTGAAGGCTCTGGTCCCAGCTCCCCAACCTCTTTTCTATTCATCTTGCAGTACACAGCGCTAATCCAGTTAATTGATTGATCACATCTGTTTTCCCCTTGTGAAAAAAATGGGGCAACCTGAAGGACTGTCATAGCAAAAGCAGTACAGTGCTTCCATTCATCTTCACAGTGATCTCTTCCCCTCTCCATTATGTCCATTGCATACAAGCAGCAGTCATTTCCCACATGCGCAGGAAATCTCCCAGGAAGTTTCAGGCTTACTATGTACATGCAGTATTTCAATTCTGCACGTTCGAGAGGCTCCTCATATGCTGTGTGAGCACCCTGACACTACAAGAGGAGGAAGGAAGACAGCCATGCACAGAAAGTAGCTGCAGAGAGACTGACTGTGGCAGCAAAACTTGCATGGTTTTCTAGGTAATCTGAAAAAACTAATTGCTCTCCCTCAGCCCAGAGGGGAAATATATTTCCTCGTGTTTTATATTCAGGGACATGTATGTTTCCTTCCCCACTTAGTGAGTGGATTCCACCATGAGAAAAGATTAAACGTCTTAACTTCACTCAGAGAAGCCACTTGAAAGCAGTTACATCTCTGTGTTGGCTTAGAAGGGAGTTGCTTTACAAATAGTTGAGAACCATATGCCTGAGGAAAAACGCTGAAGATACTGGGAGACTGTGCACATGAGACACCAACTTTGAAAAAAAACAATCTCAACCCTGGCTACACTTGAGGGAAAACAGGTGATATACTATTAAGTCAAAACTTAGAGACAGGCTGGCCAAGGCAGACTTGGAGATTCTAGCCTGAAGAACAGGAGAGTCACTGTGAATTCAAAAATTGGACTGGGGAATTCTCTTTGCTATTAGTCTGAGCAGAATTCTTGGTAAATTAACCTAGACTTCCTGTCTGATCTGCTGCTGAAAAGTTAATCTTCCTGTGGAAGGTCCTATGATGCCTATAATAGCAAATTTCCTATGTTAAATTCGAGAGAATGCTTTACTGAAGTGTGTTCAGAGGTTGTGACATCTGGATCTAGTCCAGAAGCTAACAATTTATGCTATTTCAGAGCTAAGGAGAAGCTAGAAGTTCAGAAGCACCCATTCACCACATGCCATGCCTGAATAAGTTATTAGCTCTGACACCTGCTGCTCTCAAAACCTTGCTGACAACAGCTATGAAATGATGAGCGAAAGAGGGGAACAGTGTGGCTAGAACTGAGTAGATCTGCTACTACTGCTACTACTACCTGCTACTGATAAAGTCTAACACTGATAAGATCAGGTGAATGGGACATCCTGGCCTCCCCAAGACAAGCTGTTGCTGGTTCCCTAACAAACAGACTGACTGCTGGCAGCCCATGCACAGTAGAGCTACAGCGTAGGGAGATATGCTGGGTACTGGGTGCACTCTACAGCAAATGGGACCAGTCATACCTTCTGGGAACACATGGCTAGCATAAAGATGCTGGCACCAACATTCTGGTAGAGCTGTACTACATCTGTCAGTTTAGAGATGAGGAGTTGGCTGTGGTCGGTTGTCTCACTCAGGAACAGAGAAAGGATCTCTTTGGTAATGGAGATTAGCAAGGGCCCTGGCAGTGCAGAGAACAGGCATCAGTGCATGGTTACACAGATTAAAAGGAAAACCAGGAAACTGCACTCACTACAAAGGGCTGCTGGCACCAACTCCTGGGGGATCCCCACTCAAGCCCTCTTGCCTCTTCCCTTGCGAATAGTCTGCATTTAAGTGTCTTTACTCCTCCCAGTCCTTGTGGGACCTGCTGCTCATCCCCCATGATTTTCTCTCCCTCCAGTCTCTACTTTGCCAGTGCCTCACACAAGGCCCATAAGTCAACCTTGCAGGGTTCCCAGCCTGGCAGATCAGGAAGTTTGTCAGCTTTGCCAACATACCCAGATGCTGCAGCCAGGATTCAGCTTGCTGCAATCTGTTTTGCAGGCCCTCACAGTGCACCCTCTGCTCACGAGACGCAGAGTCTGCAGCAGGGTTTGCCGACTATGCACCATCTTGTAAATGTCATCTCACACCTGCCCAGAAATCAAACACAGCAGGACTGAAATCAGTCATTCCAGTCGTCATTCAAGGGTGGGAGAGAGGAACGAAAAGGGTCCTAAGGGAAATCCCACTTCCTCCTTACATCAACCCCATGCTGCTGAAGAGACCCAAAGGGATAGGGTTCTTTCTCCTATGTCTGGGGAAAGAAAAGGAGTATAGAAGATGATGGAGTAGCTTGCTAAACACCTCTTTTCTTAAAAATATTAAGAACATTGGACGCAGAGCTCAGAGGACTACAGCACCAAATCTCAACCTTAAATGTATGATTCCTTACATCAGAGGAAAGGAGAAGCCTAGGATCTTCATAGTAGTCAGGACAGGGACCACAGGGAAGAATGTAAAGGTCACCCCAGGGCTCCAACCCTCACTTACTAACTCAAGTATGGATGAACAGAGGGCAAAGAATCTCCTGAGCAGGCTTTGGGCATGGCTATTCTCTTGCATTAGTTTCAGTTCCAGTTCAGGAAAGGTGTAGCACGTGGAGTCATCCTGGGGCAGCCAGTGCACAGATCGCAGCTCCTGCAGGAGTCTGGAGAAGGACAGAAACTATCACAAGTCTGCTCATGCCTGGGCACTCTCTCAAGCATTTCAGGAAAGGGATAAGAGCATAAAGCCCTGAAATAGCACTTGAGAAATGGTTGCTTGCACAGCATCCCATGGCTAACTGAATAGGGCATGAGCGCTGGGACCCTGTCCCCCCACTCCAGAATAACTGATCCAGGAGAGAAACAGGACCACAGAAGGTAAATACAAGGGAGAAGGCTGCACCCCTTAAGACCAAAAGCAGCAAGAGGCATAACAAGAAAGTTCCTCAGGGAGGAACACAGGTGAGTCCGAAAGCAGTGAATTCACTCATAAGGATGTGAGCCCCCAGCTCTCATCTGGAATCCCAAGGGATGAGAACACAGGGACTTAGACAGGAGTCTGCCATCAGCTGGGCTCCAGGCACAGCAATGCTACAGCTCTCAGTCAGAATCCAGACAAAGGCGGGGTGAGACCTGAGCGCATATGCACATACACTCACCTGGAAATGTGGAGCAGGGCTGCTGCAAAGTGGGGAACAGCCAGAAGCAGATGGCTCTTTAGGGCTTTTCGATGCTTCTGATGGCCCTTCATGTTCTTCCACCAGCTAGTAGTGACAGACAGTGTAAAACTTATTGCTGTGCCCTGGCGATACAGTAACAGGAAGAGGAAGCAGCCCAGGAGGCAAGATGAGGAGCCCATCCCATGCAGCAACTAAATGTCACTGGCCCACTGCAGGGGGTCCTTCTCATTCATTTGCCAGCTCATCCCAAGCTCTATCCCCTTTTCCTGCCACAGAGGTCCAGGCATCCTCCTGCAGATACTCTGTGGAGAGCAGGATTTTTCTGTAATTTCCATTTGGTGTCAAAGAGAGAACTTCACACGCATCACTTACCTAGCAAAGACTTTACGCTCAAGGCAGTGCTGGAGGAGGGGAAAGCAACAGAGCAACTGCCACAGCATTGCTTCTCGGTGCCACTCTGCTAGTGTCATGGTCTTGACTGCATCCTCAGGGTGCATGTGCAGCGCTCCAAATGATGAGAAGACATAGTGCTGAGGTTCTGCCTTGTGCTGGGAAACCACTACCAGGTCATAGGGTCTGCAGGGTAAGACACAGACGCAGGACACAATGGTCAACAGCACTGCTGTTCCTGTTCTTGTGTTGGCAGCTAGCTAGAGAAAAGATTTAAACAGCTTCTTGTTAGTGGGTATGTATAAGAGTAAGTTTAAGGATGCAGGCCCCTGAATTGCTTGTGGGAATGTGTGTAGGAGGTGAGTTTCAGAGTGCATGTATAAAATTCACAGATGCTCTACTCAGAAAGAACTGCTCTGATCAGCTAGTCTGATCTCCTGCACAGAGGTGTTCGTAGTATTTTCCAAGGAATTTAAGGTTAAAACATTTGTTTTAATTTAAAAAAAACAAAAGAAGATAAAGTAGAAATAGTAGTAGTGAGCCAGACCTTGAACTACATCTAAACGTGCCTCGGATTATTCTCTTGACACACAGATCAAATGGCAAGGAACAGACAGCATCCACAGTATTAAACTCTCTTGCTCATCACAGGAGGGTGGCCATACTGAAATTGCCTATGGGGCTGGCTTCCTGGTCTGTTTATTCATAAACGATTCCGCAGAGTTGTTTGGGAGAGTGCCACTTGGCATAGACCAAACTCTACCAGGGACAATGTAAAGTTAGGTAACGTAGACAGCCATATTTCTGTTCCTGCTAATGGTCTCTGGTATTGTTTAGTGTGTGAGAACACATGTAGTATCAAAGTCTGTTTAGCCCAGCACCTATCTCCAGTGCTAATTAACAGGGCGTGCCTAGATAAGAGTATAAGAACCGGACAAGCACACACTTCTCCCAAATATTCTCCTGGCCCTCACTGGTTTGTGATTCACTGATTTCTTGAGTCAGAGATCCTGCGTCTATGTTTAGTAGCCCTTGATGGATTATAATTTCGTGGATTTAGGTACCTGCTTTTTGAAATCATGCAAATTTTCAGCACCCACCACATCCTCTGGCAGGGAGCTCTAGACTGTCATCACATTGCATGGAGGACTTTCTTCTCTACTTTGAGCCTACTCCCTTCAGCTTCATTTGATGACCCTTATTCTTGTGTTAGAAGAGAGGGTACACAAGCGATCCCTACCCACCCTCTGCAGGTCACTCACGTTATATCATCTGTCTCTTGTGGACCCCTTCAGTCGCCCTGTCCAGCTGCAGAGAGGCAGCTGCTCAGTCATCTCTTGCATTGATGCATTGCAGACCCCTGAACCTTCCCATTGCTCTTCTCTGTTCCTGTTTGAGATGGGGAACTGGAACCGCAAGCAGCGTTCATAATGTGGGTGAACCAAGGACTGACACACCGGCATGACGATGTTCTCTGCTTTGACCCCTCTTCCTTTCCTAATAATTCCTAACATTTGATTAGCATTTTTTTCATTACTGAGCTAACATTTTTACGGACCTGTCTAATCACAACTCAACAATTTCAGTTCTGAGCAGAAAGGTTCACCTCAGAGCCCAACATCTTAACTGAAAAGTTAAAACTGTTTTTCTCCACGTGCCTCACCTTTTATTATCCACAATTAATTGTATTGTCCAGGTTACTGGCCAGTTACTCAGTGCCATTAAGGCCCTTACGAAACTCTCTGCAGTCTCCCAATCCTTTTTAAAATATGCTGGACACAGTGCCATCAGCAAATCTTGCCCCCTTTCCAGGTCACAGAGGAATGCACCAGTCCACACAGGCCATAACAGACCTCTGTGGCTCTTCACTGGTGACCTCCCTTGACTTGTCAAAGCTAACCATTTATGTCTGCCCTCCATTTCTAATCTTTAACCATGCAAAGAACTTGCTCTGTTGTTCCATATCATCTCAGTTTCTTTGAGATTCTTGTCACTGAATCTTGAAATTCAGATCTTTCTTCAACTGTACTCATTAATTCTATTATTTGGGTGACAAACCACTAGTTACCGGAACTGTCTCCTGAGGGCAACATTTAGGTAGACACAGTCAATTTTTCCCAAATCTCTGTTTCTCATGAAAGTCTCACAGGCTTGGAGGTCAGTCAGGGGCAGCTGGGATGAAGTATCATCTTCTTCCACGCCCTGCAGGACAGATCCTGTAGTCTTTTTGCCTGTGTCTGAAAGTGGCCTGAAATGAAAAATGAGAGGACCATGGGAAAATACCATGCACACGTTTAAAAAAAGCTACCCTGTGACAGGAGATCAAAAGAAGGCAGCAGCACAGACACTCACTCCTCTTAAGGACAGAAAAAGTCCTTTAACTCTGTCACAGAGCAGAGAAACAGGCTCACAGGACTGGAAGAGATTGGAACACCTGGGAAAAATATTTTCTTCCCAATTTTTTGGACGCGACTCCAAATGACTACTTAGATTAAGCCCCTTCTCCCATAGCTGCAGGCATCTGTGCAATAGCTTTTTAGTTAGAGTCACTGAACATCTGCTTCATGTGCTCCTACTCTCTATGGGCTATAGACTGCTCCAGAACTTTTAGGTCGAAAAGCAAAAACCCCAAGATGCAACTACAGTTACTGCACAAGGAGATCGGGAAGCTATAGCAGTGGATTTGTTAAAATAAATATCCACATAATCCCAGCACTTAGATCAGCCCATAGTAAGGAAAAATGGAGGAAAAAAGTCCTCAGTGACCTCTGCCAATCTCATCTGGAGAAATTTCTGTCCTGATCCTATATCTGATGTTATCTTGAGTGCATCAACAGCAATTAACGTTAATCAAGGTCCTGGAATACCTGAGCAGGAGAGCATCTATGTCTTACTCCTTCTGTAGCCAGTTACCAATGCTTCAGATGAAAGTACAATAAATCTGTAAGCCAAACTGGACATAAAGGATGAAGAAGCCCTTCCTGGCCTCAAGAGTCAAAAAGTGAAAGCCCAGGAGTGTGAGACTATGCTCGGATCACGCAGGCAAACCATCTCAATCAATAAATAACTCCTTTCTGTTTGGTATGCTGGCCAACTCAGACATCCGTGGCTCACATCACAGGTTTAAACTCCATATGGAAGAATAGCAGATCCTGTACTTAAATCTTTCATAAACTAAGGAACTTAAATTGGTTTAAGATGTAGTTTTATCACTCTCATTTGCCTGTGTGGAAAACTATTCCTTCTTGGAGCAAAAGGAGAAGTCTTTCATCTCTTTTTTAAAAGAAGCTCTTCATTACTGTGATCATTCTAATAATCCCTCTTGACAACTGTTTCAATTTAGTTTCACCTTTCTGAACAAAGGAAGCAGGCTATAAGCAGTATTTAGGAATTATCCTACCAGTGCTTTCCACAACGGTATTAGTCCTCCTCTACCTCCACTGATGATACCTCACCTAATGGTTCTTAGGATTCCATTTTTTCCTCTAGACGCATCATAAACATCTGCTCTGTCACACTCCCACCAACCAGAGCTCCCAGAACTGTCCTTTTCATCAATTCCAATAAATATGTTCCCTGGTTTACATAATTCCCATGTCCATGTTTTGTGTGTGTGTGTGTGTGTGTGTGTGTGTGTGTGTGTGCGCGTGCTATTACATTATTTCTGCTAGTCCACCTGTCCAAATCATCTAATATATAATGACCTGCTCCTTCCCAGTACTGACAGCACCACCTTTGTCTTCTCTGCAGATTTCAGGAGTCTGTGCCTCATTCTTCTGCTAGGTCCCTGCTGAATTTAATCCACCCAGTTAAAATGGATTGATCCTAAAAGGATTATCTAAATAATCTCTGCCAGATCTGGACTACTGTGTTCAAAAGCCACCAGTGGACCTTATTGCCATCTCTATTTCAATTTTTATACATTTGGTGTCCACACCCTGCGGGAGCAATAAGGCAGAGAATTTCATCAAGTTATCTGAAAGGCTATTCCTTAAATATCCCATTGCACTGAACTGTTATCTAGCGATGTCAGTCTGAGCACAGCAACACTCACAGGGAGAAAAGCTAGAGAAGGTGAGAGGTCAGAGCTGTGGATAAGCCCTCCATGGCATGGAAACTATTTTTGATTCCAACCCATACAAGCAAACCAGAGACTGGAAAAACATAATGGCCTCATGCCTCAGTGGGCACATTGGAGTGTCATAGGCACGTCCATACCATGTCCTGCCAATTAGAGGCAGGAGGTCCAGCCCTCTCCTCCAGCGTGCGTACTGCTGAATCAGCTCCAGCAGACCCACATACCTCTGCAGCTCCTGCGAGGACACTGGATCCAGTGATGATGTTACTGCTTGATCTTTTTTTCCCTCTCCAGGACAAACAGGCCAAGATGTCCTGTGAAGACTGGCCATGAGCCACTGAGCATGAGCCTGGCTGAAGGTTCTGACTCCCTGAATCCTACACCCAGTATCAGGTGAACCGTAGGAAACACTTCACCTATAGCCCCTAAGGTATCCAGATCAGAGACCAAGGCTTGGCTGTTGTGATATCGCTTGCAGAGGCTCTTCAGCAAGGGCAGCAGCTCCTTGCGGCCACACAGCTCCTTCTGGAAGGGTTCGAGCAGCTGCAAAACATAAAGCAGATGCAACCAGGACTTTTGACTGCCTCTCTTCAGCACCATCCTAAACACAACTATCACTTCAGCTACAAGAGCATCCAAAAGCAGGGGGTCAGGCCTCCCCGACTCCTGGAGCTTGGCCTTTGAGGCACTGGCAGAGAGCCTGGGCCCAGCCACATTTCACTGATGGCGAGCAGATGGTCTTTTGAGCACCTGCAAAAGAGAAGTAACCAAAGGCACAAAGAAGAAAGCAAGAGTGCAGCCCAAAGCAAGGACACAGACCTGCCCAGATGGGTGAGGCTGAAGGGCCAGCTAGCCTCATTCTCTCGCGAGCAGCCAGTAGCGAACGCTCAGAGGAGAGGATAAGAAATAGGGCAAGTACAGTTCAGCCTGCTCCCTGGCCTCTCTCTTCTACACAAACACTCGTCCTCACCTTCAAGCAATGACAAGCTTAGGGACTTCCTAGACCATCACTTTTAGTGGTCACCAATCAATCTATCTCCTACAAGTTAGTCAAATCCCTTTTTTAAAGCTTTATCTTTTTAGCCTCAACATCTTGCAGCCATGAATTCTTCAAGACAATAATACAGAGCATGGAAAAAGCACTTCTAAAATTACTGTGATAAGGGAGGTATTCCACACCGTTGATCGTTTTCCCTGGTGCTACTAGCTCTTTGTGGATATGGGAAGGGCTGGGCAGGGCCTGGGGGCACCCACAGGCCTCCGCAGCCCCAGTGGGGACCCCCATGCAGGCGCCCCCTGCCCGGGCCAGGAGCGCCGTTTCAGCTCAGGCCTTGGCCCTTGCCTGAGCTATGTTGTAGGTATCGCTGTGCCCTGCGCTGTCCCATTGGATCCTGACTCACTGACTAGATAAACCCGGACCAGCCTTGTTACCTCGGGAGGGACATGGGACACAGCCCGGTTGCTGATGGACATGGGACATGGCCTGGCTGCTGATGTACACAGGACATGGCATGGCCACCAACGGACATAGGAGGGACACGGGACACAGTCCACCCCGCTGATGGACACGGAACACGGCCTGGTCACCAACGGACATAGGCGGGACACGGGACACAGTC